TGAAACCACAGTGGCCTACATGTTTCATTTTGTTTATTTTATTCCCATTTCGCAATGTGGGCCTACTCTTTGTTATGGTATTTTTGATCATGTGTTAATTATAGGTTTTTGTTTGCACATTTATTACTGAGACCAGAAGTGAAAATCCCTCCCCAAAGGCTCTTATCTCACCTACTCACCTTTACCCTCTTGCAAATGATGGTCCCAGATGCACAGTAAGAAATGTAAGGAAAGAGACAGATTATGGCCACGATAATGATCTGCTGTGCTCTGAACCACAAGATACTAGTGAGCAGCTGCCATTTTCTAAAAGTTTTGAGTGATTCATTGTATGTCTTCACTCATTCACAGAAGTATTGCTGATAATGGTCAAAAACAAAGTGAAATATATTAAATTTCCAACAATAGAGAATTGCTCAAGTAAATGGTGGTATTTCCATATGATGGAAGGCCATTAATAAAGAGATGTTGTAGATGAATATTTATTGGTATAGAATGATAGTCATGATGATTAAGTGAAAAAGCAGCCCCAAATGGGTAATGTACAACACAATTCCATCATTATTTTTAAAAAATGTATTTGAATAAAAAACATTTGGGGGCCGGTCCCTTGGCCAAGTAATTAAGTCCACATGCTCCACTTTGGCGGCCCAGGGTTTCGCCAATTCAAATCCTGGGCGCGGACACGGCACCGCTTGTTAGGCCATGTTGAGGTGGCATCCCACATAGCACAACCATAAGGACCTACAACTAGAATATACAGCTGTGTACTGGGGGGCTTTGGGGAGAAGAAGAAAAAAAAAAATAAAATCTCAAAAAAAATATTTGGAAGGATATATAGTGGTTCTCTCTGGGTAATGGAATTACAGAAATAAATTTTCCTTCTTTATACTTATCTGCATTTTCCAACTTTCTTTGATGGACATATGTTGCTTTTGGCAAAAGAAAAAATTGATTTAAATTAAATAGAATTCTATTGATGCAAAACCTACTTGGGGGAGCAAAGAACCACGTTTTGAAAAAAATAAATGCCAACTCTAAAAAAATGAATTAAGAATGGAAAATTTTTTAAAAATAAGAAAGATAGATTTCATTCTTTTAAAAGGATGGAGTCACTTAATGACAAATGTTTGAAATTAACCAAGTGCCAATTGTAAATTTTCTTCTTAGATGAATTCTATCTTAAATTGCTTCAAAAATGGACTCATTTCATGGCACATAGGCATGATATTTTGAAATATCTAAATTAAGCAATCATTAATAGCAACACTATGTAATTTTTTTCTTTTATGCCAAACCATCACTTTAAAACAAATCAGTTTTTAAGATGACGGGGAGATATATTTATTTTTCTTATTGGCTAGTTGGACGACATGGACCAAATAATTACAAATGTGATGAATCTTACAAAAGAAGAAATACAGGATGTGGAGGAGGAGTTAATCTGATCTGCAACATCTGTCCTATGTACAAGACATTTAAACCAAGATATGAAGTATGAGTAGGACTTAACTGGGCAAAGAGTGGGTGTGGAAGAGTATTCTTTGTGGAGGGAATGGTATGTGCTAAGGCACTAAGATGACACTTTGCCACAATACTCTGGGATAATCAACCATCCACAACTCTGGCTTGAAACAACAAGCATTTATTTCTCTCACATTGGCCTGTGAATCAGCTGCAACTTGGCTGGGCTTGGCTGGACGCCAGGGTTCAGGTCTCCCTCCTTCTCTTTTGACCAATAGCTTCCTGGAACTTGCTCCTTTTATAGCACACGGCACGAGCACACAAGCGCCTTGGAGGGCTTGCGGCACTTTTAGGAACATTTCATTGGCTAAAGCAAGCTGTATGGCCATGCCCCAAACAAATGGGATGGGGAAGATATTTTACCCACAGTAGATAGTAATGTGGAGTCACATAACACAGGATGTAGCTGAATAATTTAATATAAGAAGGATGTGAAAAATTGTGAGCAATGATTCGATCAACCACACCTGGATTTTTCGAGGAATCCGTTGCCAGGATGGCTAAAGAATAATGAGTGAGCTGAGTGACATCACTGGCGGTCCTGTAATCGGCTGTCCTTGGGAACTTCTCGTTGGAGAGATTCCATACATCTACATATATATTTAAGCTCACTTTAAAAGAAAGTGACTTCTCCAACTTCCGCTTGAACTTGATTATTTCTAAAGAGTTGACCAACACTGAAACACCATGGTTATCCCGCAGAGCTGACACAGTGTCAATTGAATTAAGTGTTCCTCCTCTGTTGTGTACCAAGTATCGGGTCTCTGTGTGACAGCAGCACATTCAGAAGCTGTGCCTCAGAGGTGGTGAAACCGGTGGTTAAGCCCCTGAGCGAAGAGCCTTAAATTTGGTTGCTAGTCATTCTCCTGGAATGCAGGTCAGCTATTTCGTACACAGTGAATAGGATGGATCAGTCATAAACGTGAGGAAACATCTAATTTGACTACTTTATCCCATGAAACACAATCTTCTATTTGGTCAGATAGTTTTGATAATGTCACAAGAATAGTTCAGGTTATTTTTACCCGTGGCTGTACAGATACATTCATTCGCTTTACAAGTGCCTGGTCTAACGCCTGAATGAACAGGTGTGGGGACATCAGTTGGCCAATTATAAACGCTTACAGTTCATGTGTTTAACAAGCACAAGCACTTTTTTAAAAAAGAAAATTCACTCAACACAGACAGCCACTGTATTATTAGCTATCGTGGTATTCTCCCACAGGAAACTTAACTCCAATTGTGATTTTTTTTTCCCCTTTCGCTGACAAGAAGAGATTACATAGAAATTGCTGCCTCCATGATGACCTTGTTCTGCAGCCTATTTTTCCCTTCATTTGTTCAAGGCTCAATTGTATAATCTTGAGGGTTTACAAGAGAATCTATTATTCTTTCTGACAATATTTATTTCCCATGAAAACAAGATTTTTGTTAGGTAACTCGAAGTGAATTTCGTTATAAAGTATATGCCGTTTCAAGGGAAATCAGTGTTTGAAATAACTGAGATGGATTTGGAGCGATCAATCCCTTTGCCCTCATTCTGGTCACGGTTATGTAAGCGTTCTGCTTGGTTGCATTAGTGTATTTTATTACTTACTTTGCAAAGCAGCATTTACAGAAGGCTACAGTTTTCTGGTTCCTCTTTGAACAGACCTTGATTCCTCTTACTGGAGCAGCTCTTCATCTGTAGGTGTGTTTTCTTGCTCTTTTAGCCTGGCACCCCTTCAACAGTCAGCATCGTGTGTACATTCCAAGTGACAGCAGCATAGAGAGATGATATTCTCTCACACATTCCCTAAGTGGAAATGCGAGCAATGGGAAGAAAAAACAAATGCAGTCCCTAACTACCTCCGGATGGTTAGTGTTTTAAAGGGGCCGTGGGAATCGTCTCCCTGTTTGTCTGTTGAGGGGTCATTCCATGCATTTAAGAGTCGCTGATTTCCACGGGCAAATTGTGGAGCTTGATTACCCAGAACTGGCAGACCAAAGTTGGGTTTAATTCATGAGCTCTGCTCACAGTCTGTCATTTCCCAGCAGGCTATTTTTGTACAGCTAAGAAATTGATTTAGTTAGTTTTTCCTTTTGGAAAATGGAAATAGCAATATTATTTTTATGGCAGCTTTTAAATGTTTGAATGAGTCCAACCAAATGAAAGTTGTGGCTGCATCGCAATATTAGTAAAATCAATTTGATTAATATTTCTCTTCCAATTTCTCTCTGTCTCACAGAACAGACTTCTTTACCTAAACTGACCAAATTAACTGACAGTTTTGCCATTGTGTAGGCCCAATTTTTTTCTATTGATGATGCTATGAAATGACTGTAAAGGGTGCATCTGATCTCCGTTTTCATGAAGTAATGAAGTATTAGATTTATGCTGAAACGTTTCTGTTTAATGATGAACAATTTTTTCAAGCTTAGCAGCTCTGCCTGTTAGTCCGTATTTTCCCAATCTTTATTATAAGTTTTAGTTCAGCTTCTACATGATACAGTTTGTAAGAGGTTTTAAAAATCGTTTCTGGAATGAGGCCCGATATACACCTATAGGTAAATAATATAAAAGATTGATGAATTTAACTGACTATTTTGCCATTGAATAGACCCAAATTCTATAAGAGAATTACAACCCCAATTGATATGGACATATGGCTCTTAAACCTTCAAAATCTTTAGAAACTTTGGTGTCAACTGCTACAGCTTTCTTCAAAAATAATAGGATTATATCAGGTCATCTTTTTTAGCATGCTGTGAGATTTAAATAAAAATTCACATAGTATATTACTGAATTAAATTGTGTAGTTTTATACATTTTGACTAGATCTAAGTTAGCCTACTGCAGTGAGAGAACTTGAAGCTTAAAAGACCTGAATCTGAATTTTGTTCTTTTCTAGTCACGTGATCTTCAAACCATGACTATACTGAGTCTAATCTGTAAAATGGGCCAAGACTTGTTCCCCCGCCTCCTCGGGGTGTTAGTAAAATTCAAATGGTACGGTGGGTCAGGATGCTGTTTAAAAACTGTAAAGAACCATACAATGTGATTTTAAAGGAAAATTTAGACACTTTGTTTTCACTGTTACTGTTTAACACCAGTTAACTGTTCACTGTTTTACATATTGGAGTTTCTGGCCAATACAGGAAGAGAAGAAAAAAGGAAAAGGAGATATAAAGGTTGGATGAGCAGATTTAACCAGCAAACTAAAATAAGATTTCAGCAAGGATAGTGAATACCTGATCAGTTTTTAAAAGCTATTAGTCTTTATCAACTTCAGGAAAATCATCTAGAAAATATAACAGAAAACAAGATACCATTCTCAAACTGTAAAGTATATGGGAAATAACCTAATAAAGACTTTTCTCAGAAAATTTAAAAACTCAATTCCATATTTAAAAGAAAAGATCTGAGTAAATGGAAAGATATACCATGTCTTTGACATGTAAATACGTGTTGGTTTCCCTTACAATTTACCCGTAAGTTGAATGTTAAAATTATGGCAAGGTTTTTTGTGAGGTCCTCAACATACTTATTCCACATTTATACAGAGGAATCATGGTTCTTGACGTCTAAGTAATTTTGAAAGAAAGAGCAGAGGACGGACTCACCCTCCCAGATAAAACCAGTGTGGAACTGGTGTAGGAGCAGTCCAATAGACCTATGGAAAAGAACAGAGTCGGCAACACCTCTGAGTCTATATGAGAACCTGCCATGGGATCAATGTGGCACCATAAATCAGTGGGCAAAGGATGAGTGACTCCCAATCCACTAACTGGTAGTGGGGAAATGGATCATTATATAAAGAAGAATAGATTGGTTCACTATCTCAAGCACATACAAAGGAGAAATCCAGCGCAGAAATAAAATTACAAAGCTAATAGAAGAAGATACTGGAAGCGTTAAAGAAGATCCTCAAAATGCAAACCAGAGGTTGAAAATTTAATAGATCTGACTACACTTAAAAAAATTAACATCTATTAAAAGACAGACACAATAAGCCAAATCTGCAGAAAGGTGAGAGAATGAGAAAAGATTTATAATATCTAAAATTTATAAGTGATTAATATCTAGAATATGCCAGGAAGCCTCAGTATCCCCAGTTTTAAAATGGAGATAACAATAATAGAAAGTGAAGTGCTCAGCTCAGAGCCTGGCATAGAGTTAATGCTTACTGTTTGCTATTGCTAGTTGATCTGTTCTTACCCTCTGTGACAAAATACATTTTGTGTTGAGCCATGATATGTGGACCCTGAACTTCCAGTTTCTGCATGGATTTACGTGGCTAGCTTATGGAGTTACAGAGAAATGTGTGTGCAGATATCTAGCCAGTCTCAATCACCACAAATCCTGTTTGATGAATGTCCCCGGATAAGCCAATGGTTAAAAGGAAAAGTGGAGATTATATTAGTGGCAGCTTCCATGACGCAGAGGTGAGCAAAATGCTGTGTGTATCACTGTAGCTATGGAACCAACTCCCAAGGACACCTGCCAGGTGATGATATGAGCCAAGAAGAGCATGCTTCATGGCTTGGGGTGTGAATCTTGTGACTGTCATATCCCGTCCTGCCTGAGGCTGGGGCTCAAGGGTGCTGTGTCCAGAGGACAGAGAGAGTAGGTGACGCAGCTCCCCACTCCTTAGCTCTTTGTCTAGGTGTCAGGTATGACTGTTGTGGGGGGGGAGGGCCAAATGGACCAGCCCTTTCCTGCTGAGTTTCCTGGGGACTTCTGTACCCAGGGGCAGGTTGACAACAGAGAGATGGCTTTGCGCACAACCAACACAACCTGCTCTCTGAAAGAAGAGCTTTGTCTTTTTCTACTTTATGACCTCAGCTTTGGGGAAAGCTTTGGCTCCCCAAATGTGGCCTGAAAACATGGATGATGACGCAGGTCAGAGGCAGTGAGTGGCAGTCAGTGGCAGTGACCTGAGCTGAGTTCCCTCCTTGGGCTTGGGGGATGGATAAAGTAAGTTGTCCAGGGTCGTCCTGCTGATAGAGAAGGAAGGGAAACTAATGATAACTCTGTGCCAGGCACGGTTACACACTCTGTCCCCTTCAATCCCCTGCAAACCTGCGAAATGAACATTCTCATCCCAATTTTACAGATGTGAAAACTGCAGCTCAGACAGGAAAATTTGCCCCAAGTTACCCAGCTGGTAAGTGACCCGCTGGAATTTGAACTCTAGGTCTGTTTGACTCGAAGACCCATAGGCGATTATTTCGTTGGTTTTCTTTTTCACTGTTCCACTCTCTATCTGCGGACTCGGAGCGGAGGTGGATGGATCTATGGCTTGGTGGACTCCAGGTAAGGTCCATCCGTGTCTGATCTTGGCAGTTCACTTTGGAAAGCAAATTACATTTTCCAGTGCTGCATCTGAGCACATGATCCTGTGGTCAGCGGGTTTTAGGTGTGGCTTTGATTTCTCAGCAGAAACTATGTTCTTGTGAAATACTGACATCCTTACAGTGTTGTGCTTTGCTTGTCATTCAGAGAAGCCTGCACTTTCAGGAGACACCCTATACACTGTAGATGGATTCCCTGGCAAGGAAGGCAACCAGGCAGGGCTTCCAAGACAGAAAGAGCTTGCTCCTAAGTGGAATTGCATTACTCTGTGCTTCTGGGATCTGACAGGTGCTTTGAAGATCTGGCTTTATTAGCCGCTAACAGAGACACCTCTTGTCCAAACATCTGCAACTGACTTTTTTTCATGCTTGAGAGATCACAGGTGTTTTTGTACCAGTGCTATTGGAGGTCATCAAGATCGCCATAGCCGCTAATCCTATTCACAAGGGCTCCAACCTCATGACCTCATCACCTCCCAAGTCCTGCCTCCTGACACCAGCTCACAGGTTGGGCCTCAGCATATGAAATTTGGGTGACCCATTCAGTCCACAGCATCTCTGATCTGTCATTTACCAAGAGGACTATGTTACGTTCTCCCACCATGCTTATAGATTGTTGAATAAATCTTGTAATTCTGTCAAGTTTTAAACTTACATATTATAAAGCAGTGGAATTAAATGAAAAGATTTTTGACTTTTTAAAAGAAAAAAACAAAAGATTGCCATAGCTACATATTCTTGCCCCTGTCTCTAAGGCCTGTGGCAATAAGTAATAATGATAATAATCATGGTAGTGATAATTACAAACCATTTACTGTGTATTTGCTATGTGTATTCATTAATGTAGTAAGCTTATTTTATGTTCACAACAAGTCTCTGAAGTATGTGTTATTTAAGATTGTTTAGCTGCAGGTAACAGAAATTCAACTTCAATGGCTTAACCAAATGTGGGATTTATTTTTCTCATGGAATAAGAAGTCTAGCAGTACATACTTCAGGGTGAGTATGGGGGCCCCATGATGCTATCAAGAACCCAGGCTCCTTCTCTGGGAGTTTTCTTCGTCATGTTTCAACATGGCTGTTCTAATTCATGCATCACAACTGATTTTTAGGCAGAAAGAAGGAAGAAGGGCAAAAGGTAGGTGGCAAAAACTAAAACAGTGAATGCAAGCTGAATATGGCCCCTCTAACAAGCTTTCTCAGAAACTCTAGCTGGTACCTCTGGTTTCACCTCATTGTCCAGAACTGTGTTGCATGCCCACACCTAGCTGCAAGGGAGTCTGGTAATCCAAGAATGTTTAAGTGAGCCCCTTGATTAGAAAGGAAGAAAGGAGCATGGCTATTGGCTAGGTGACTAGCAGTGCCTAGCTCATGTAGTTAATATTTGTTCAAATTTACAAACTAGGAAAATGAAATTAGAGAAGTTAAGTGTTTGCTAAATGTCCCCTAGCTAGGGAGTGACAGAGTTCAGACCTGAATCCATGTATGTCTGACTCTGAAACCACATTCCTAAAAGTTCTGCTAGAATTTGTTCCTGATGCTTGAGGGTGTTTGGGCTGGAGAACAGAGGACTTTAGGAGGCTCTCTTATGGAATAGAAAGGAGGATTGATTTGTTGGTTTCTTGAGAATAGTGTGAAGATCAACATATGAAAGATGTGGAAAGGCAGATTGTGGTACAAGGTAAGGAAATGATTTCTAACAATTAGTAATTAATTGTTCTATGGGCTGGGCAGCAAACTCTATTACCAGAAACATTTGCATAGAGATTAAACTACCCATAAGAGGAGATTCCCTGAACTGATTGGGAGTTCAGATCTTTCTTGAGTTCAAGATCCTGGATCTGGGAAACATAAGTGGCTGAGACAGAACAATCGTGATTAGAGGAAGGCTTTTTGGATTGAGCATAGAGGCCTCCTGATTTGTCAGAGCTAGAGTGACCATACAATTATTTCATGGTTCAAATCGGGGCATTTTTTAGAGTGAAAGTGAGATTCATTAGTACTCACGTTGAGATAAAAGGGGAATAGAGGATCATTACAGACCAAGTGGAACTTGTGGCTACGCTCACAGAGGCTTTTGATGAATAAAAGGACGAGGAGGATTGGATTTCATAGGCAGTGGGAGCTAGGGGAATGGTCAAAAGGACAGACACCCACAAGCCAAATCCCCCCACTTCTGTAGGCTGGACCTTTTGATAAGCTCTTCTTCGTCCATGATGAACTTTCATGATAAGTGTTGAAATCGATGGGCAGGGACTATGTGTGACTACTGAGAACATGTGCCTGACACAGACCCTTGTGCCCTGAGTCTCCTCTAGCATGACTCATTTTTAAGAGACATTGAGCTTGGATGATGTTGTGTTCCTTATTGAGTCATGAATCTGGCTCATTCTAGACTGGGAAGGAAACTGGATTTCACATATCCTGAAATCCTTCTCAGCTTTTAAAAACTGCTTTTCTGGTTTGCTCAGTGACCTTGGGCAAGTCACAACCTCTCTCTATGCTTTGGCTTTTCCATTAGTGGAAATAAAATGGAAATAATAGTTACACAAGAGAAAAAAATGATTCAAGATCTTCCAATGAAAGATGCCACATGAAACCAAGTGAAATTATTATTTTTATGACAGTTGTTAGCTGAACTGCTTTTTGTCCCATCCCCTCTCATTAGGCTACAGGGCATGGAATAAACACAGGTTTGGCCAGTGGCTGGTATTTGATGATGTTGGCACCGGAGATGAAGGGAAGGAATTTCTGTCTGGCTTGTGTTTCACTATTAACCTCCTCGAGCCTGGATCTCAGTGTCTGTTAGGGTGGAATCTCAGTTGGCGGTTTCACGGCAGAGATGGCCTATTCAGGAAACCTTTTAATAATGATGCTATTAAAATATTGTCTTTATTCCTTCCTTAAATCCTTTATTCAATAAACACTGATTAAGTGTCTCTGGGTGCCAGGTTCTGTTTCCCAAGCATATAGCAAGATGCATAATGACAAACATTAAGCTCTCTGATGTTTGCTGAATCAAGAAATTTGTCAGAGATGTAAGATTTGGAGAGCTGGTCTTCTCCTGCGATCTTGCCTCTCTCCTATCTATCCTGACACATGGGAGACATTTCTAAGAGCAAAACTTCCCCTATTACCCATTTCTTAGAGAATCAAGACCAAATGTCTTAATATGGCACAGAAGAGCCTTCAGCCTTTGGTCCCTGCTTGCCTTTCTGTTTCATGTCTCACTGAGCCTCTTTTAGGATCCCTGAGTTCCAGCAATTGGGAATTTCTTACAGGGCCTTGAATATATGGCAAATATTTTAGGTTTTGTAGGTCCTGTGGTCTCTGTTGCCACTCCTGGTGCTGCTGTTGTAGCAGGAAAGCAGCTATAGACAAAATGTAAATGAATGGGCATGGCTGTGTTCAAGTACAACCTTATTTACAAAGACAGATGGTGGGCTAGAGACCTCTTCCTCCCCCATTCATCTGGCCATTGTCCACTCAATTGTCACCTCAAGTCTGAGGGCTTTCTCTGCCACTCTGGGTGGAACTGGTAACTCACTACACTCTATTCCGTACATACCACTTGCTTATCTATGTTTTCTCGCCTAACCTGATTTATTGAGCTTGATTCCTTCATTCATTGATTCACTGATTTAACAATATTCAATGACCACCCACTATGGGACAGAGTTAATGATTTTCTAGTCTTTGTACAGCACCTAGCAGAAAGCGTAGCACATAAAACATGTTGAATACATGCTTATTGAACAAAAGGAGATAGAAAGCAATAAAGAAGTCCATCGTCAAAGATATATTCATGACTTTGGTGTAACCGCCCAAAGTGATGAATTGTCTTTATTGATTTTGAAACCTTTCCATCGTGTGGAAGGGTTTGACCCGTGGTCGTGTTTGGAGTTTTCCTTCAAAGTTTCTGTCGCCTGGTCTGGAATAGATTGGTGGCTCCTACCTCATTTCATTTCTGAAGTCCCTGGGATCCTGCTTTCTGGTGACCCCAAATGGCAGGACCAAGAGTAACACACCAACTTCCAAACTCCCACGTTGGTAGGTGACTGACTCATGTGAGTTTGAAGTTTCCCAACAAAGTGTCAACATAGTGCAGTGAGTTTCTTATTTTTACTTTTATTTTTATACAGAATATCTGTTTTTTCCATTGCTTTTTGAGAGAGCAGGGCTATCTGAGCAAAGGAGCTTAAACCACTCCCAGCATGAGGACATTGAAATTGCTTCCTTGCAGAGTCTAAACCTAGTTTTTTTTCATCCACAATCTCTGGCTCTTTGAAAGTGATCCTGAGGTAAATGTAAAAATGAATCTCTGTGGTTACTTATATTACAGAAATTATTTCATGGATCCATGGAGCCCCAAAATATTTAAAGTAGGGCTCAAGCTATTTTCTTAAATTTATAACCCATTCAAAATGTAAGCAGAACATTTATTGAATTGGTTGTCACCAATCGAACCAAAATGACTTTATTCACTTTCAACCTGGTCAGAAGTAGATTTTCAATGGTTACCAGGAAGGTTATGTGTTTGTGGTCAGAGGCAGAGAAAAGAAAATGGTTACAGCTGGTTACAAAACAAACAGAAAACCTCCGCATGGCTTCTCATGTTACAAGAGCAAATAAGAAAGGAAGCCAACCGAGGATTGTAGCACAGAGTGTGTTGGGTAAACACCAGAGACACTGGAGAATGTTCTGGGTCTCTTCACCTCGTTTTAAATATAAAAAGCCAGAGAAGGAGGTGGCAGCTGAACAGAGTACACGACTGTCGTTCATGAACTCACCCGCACAGGTTACAGAAAATCAAATAAATCAAAGTTCCATTGTGACAGAGTCCTTTTCACGGATGCATCCAGAATCTGCCTGATTTAACATTTTAACCTGACATGGTGACTTTTGTGAGGGAACCACGGTAGGAAGGAATGCTGTGCCTGTGTTTTGGAGGAGGAGAGGAGGGGGCAGGGTCATAAACTGACCTTTGATTATAAAAGAAAAATAAGGTAGTGTTGCTAAATGACCAAAGCCACAAAAGTAATAGTAAACACAGCAAGGGCAAAGTGGAGAACGGTTGGTGTCAGTGAGCTAACCCATTGCAACACTCACGCAATTTGCTGGCAAGTTCCTGATTTAGTAAGTTGTCACAGTATATTTTGAATGGATTCATAACAATGTCTCTGTGCATGTGTGTGTGCGTAGGTGAGTAAGACATTGGCAAATGAGTTTCATAAATAAATGTGCTCCTTGCCTGAGGTGTTCAAGTTTAAAATAAAATTCTGTCTTCACTCGTTTCTGGCATAAACAAATACTTGACTTTTGGCAATTCTCATCAAAAGTTAAGTGTCTCCATTTAACAATGTTGATCACAATTAAAATTCACATATCCTTTGACTCTGCAATTCCACTCAGGCATCGATTTCTAGTTCTGTTCACCCATATGTGCAAAAAAATGTTTGTGGAAGCAAAAGATTAGAGACCACTTGTTTGTCTATTAGTAGGGGGCTGGGTAAAATTTGGGGACATTCATACAATGGAATACAACGCAGCTGTCAAACTGAAAGAGGTAAATCTAACTATGGGTTTGTGATAAACTCCACAATATCCTGTTAAGTTTAGCTATGGAGCAGAGGAGTAGGTATAAGAAAAAGGGGGTGCATATAACCTTGTGTGTACATAGAATATTTCTGGAAAGATACCCCAGAAATACAATAGAAGGTGCCTCTGTGGAAAAGACTGGGAGACTGGGTTCCAGAAGTCGATAGAAATTTACTTTGCACTCCAACTATTTTGCACTGTCTGAAATTTTTTTTGGTCAAGTACCGAGATCATTTTTCAAAAAGAATTCTAATGGAAATGTCCTTCTTCCCAATTAATTAAGGTTTGGCTGGTGGTGGTATCAGTGCCCAATGAAAAAGAATGAAATATATGAACTAAAAATGGTTTAAAAACCTACAGAAAAAGGCATCCTTCAGTTAAGTGTATATTTGGGAAGAGTATTTCAGTAACTAATGAATAATAATGAGCATTGATTCGGGCTGCTATTTTTAAGCTGACAGTTTGGAGTCCTCGAGAGCTGTACAGAAAGCCGGTGCCTCTCCCCGGGAAGTCATGGCAAAGCCCTTTCATGTAGAAGGGTCACCCTGACCTAGAGCCTGCAGCATCATTAGTCAAAGTCTTCTAACTTACCTCTAGTATATTCTAATTCCGTAGCTCTGAAGGAGTCATCATTTTCTCGCTTTGCCTGTGGATGACTGAAGAATGCTTGGGAAGATAAATACCCCCTGATTTATTTACATTAAATACTATCCTGCTCGCTCCCAGGAGCTGATAAACTTGGTGGCCTTGAGAAACCAGTCACATGCAACTTCCCTCTGGAGTTGCGCTCATGTGGGGAAGATGATAAGCGCAGCAGCGTAGCCAGCACACATTCTTTTGTGAGACCTGCCTTTGAATCAGCACTCAGTGTTTTGGGGGAGCGTATATGACGGTATGCCCTTCATTTAACCTGTAATAGCCTGTGTTATCTCTTGTAAAGTTAGGTTTATTTTTAATTAACCCTTCATTTGTCTATGCCGTCTTTCTTCGCAAACAGCTGTAAGCACTTTAAGTGTTAAACTGGTGTCTTTGTTCATTCGGTTGTTCATTTACAGAACAAATATTTAATGCACAGCTACCACATGTGTGTGCTGTGCCCCAGGAGATGCTAAGATGAATAAGACATATTTCTTGCTTTCAAGCCGCTCCCAATCTACTAGTCTGATAGTTTTATTCAGATTTGTATCTCTCAAGGTTATTGACACAGAAAAAGACTCAAGAAGATGATTAATAAATGTCAGTTGATTGAGAAATTGCTCAAGCTATGAACCTAGAACTCTGACATGATACTGTGGGTTCACGTTAAAGTTTTGCTGATGGGCTCTCAGGAAATCACCAGACAATTTCTCGAGACTTCTTCAATAATAGCATTTAGAAAGGTAAGGTCTTTCTAGGATTAGACGCTTCTACTGAGAATGAACTCTTTTAAGCCTCATGTTGAGGACAACAATTATTCTGGCCCAACAATAGCCAGGGTTATAAGCTCCTTAGGAAGCCGGCCCCTTTTCACACGGACAAATGGCTACTGGCTAACAAAGGCCACAGGAAGAGGGACAGCAGTCAGGGATGTTAAGGTCTCCCGAGCGCCACTCACAGCCTGGGACTCCACAGGCTTCACTTCATTCAGTGAACAACCACCACGGGAACGTGGTGATATCAATGTGAAGAGAAAGAAACGAGCCTTTTTGGTATCAACCTGGTGGTTGGTAGGTGACAGATACATTTGCATGTATGTATGCATGTATTTATAATTTAAAATTTAATATTTACCAAACCTTCTTCTAGGTACTGGGTACCTAAAGAGGTGTAAGCCATAGTGTGTGCCCTCAAGGAGGCAAATGATATAAAGAAACGCATCCAAAGTTAAGAAACCACACGAAAATTATGCAACACTAAACTGCTGGGTCCATTTGTTGTTGTTAGTGCCATCAGGTCAATTTCGACTCCTAGCGCCCCTGTGTACAGCAGAGCGGAACCCTGCCTGGTCTTTTTGTGCCATCCTCTCACCTTCCCGCGCTGTATCAGACAATGCTCCACTGCTGTTCATAGTATTTTCAAGGCCAGTTCTTTTGGAAGTGGGTGGCCAGGTCCTTCTTCCTAGTCTTTCTTGGTCTAGAAGCTCCACTGAAACCTGTCCACCATGGGTGACCCTGCTGGTATTTGAAATCCCAGTGACATAGCTTTCAGCATCACAGCAACACGCAGCTGCCACAGTATGACAACTGACAGACCAATGTTGTGGTTCCCTGACCAGGAAACGAACCCTGGCCATGGTGATGAGAGCATGGAATCTTAACCACTAGACCATCAGGGCTGGCTGCTGGATCCACACTGAACATTTAACACAGAGTTTCCTGAAATGTGCTCATCATTGGTGACATGCAAGATGAACTGAGTGTTAAGCAAACATCTGAAATTTTCATCAGGTATTTATTTTCACATGCGTTAGAAAAATCTAGAGCTACCATATCAAACCCTTGTGTATATGGATATTCCTTCTTACCGGGAGGCTGCCTGTAAAAGTGAGTTGATTTAAAGATTATCTAAAGGAAAATATCAAGTAAGTAGCCAGAAATAGGGATGTGGTTCAGGGATGTGGCAATGATTCTGCAAGTGTTATCTGAGTGGCCTGAGTTTGGGAAACGCAGAACAAGGCCAATCTCTGGGATGCAGAGAGGTTAAGTGAGTTGTTTGAGGTCAGGAAGCCAGCAGAGAACATAGACCAGAACCTGGCCGCCTGACTGGTCCTCTGCCCCCATATCCTCCTTCAATCACCAGTTCCTATTTTGCAGATGAGGAAACTGGATAACAAGTCTTCTCTTTGGAGTTCAACAACTCACAGGAGAATCTGACTGCAAAGTAGAAAGCACGGAGTTGGTCTCAAGAAAAACTCAAGTTAATATTTGTAGAGCACTTACTATGCATGCTTGTATTACAAAGATTTCATACATGCTAATTTATGTTAATCCCCAAACCACCCTGTGAGATGTGCTTAGCTATTTCTACCATCCCTCTTTTCAGGAGGAAATTAAGGAACGAAGATCGAATAACTTCCTAAGACTATAATTTACAGAGCTGGGATTTGAACCCAAACAGTCTAGCTCCAGAATCTGTTCCCTTAACCAGCACACACACTCATAATAAGTGAAGAGGTGAAAGAGACAAACTGTCTTCCTGGTGAAATTCGAAAGAATCTGCTCAAACAATTTGTTACTCCTCTGTGCCCTCCTGTTTCAAATTCCACAATTAGTCCCTTGTTCATTTTATGGAAGACATTGTTTCTTTAAAACATCACTTTCTTTTCTTTTTTCTGGTGAGGAAGATTGGCCCTGAGCTAACATCTGTGGCAATCTTCCTCTATTTGTATGTGGTCTGTCTTGATGAGCAGTGTGTTATGTCGGCCCTGGGATCCAAACCTGCGAACCCCTGCCACCAAAGGGGAGCTCACAAAGGTAACCACTACTCCACCACCAGCCCCCAAATAGCACTTTTTAATGTGCAGAAACTCCTGAGAGGAATCAACGATTACCAAAAGCAATCTTTTTATAAGAATAATTTCTTAGATTACTACGATAAGAACTGTAAAGAAATAGTCCCACCCCCAAAGGAAGGAGAGGGAGTCATGGGAGGTGAATGGAGAGAGGGATAATTTTGGGATACGGTGGGGCTGAGACATGGCAGAGGAGGCCCATGTGGGACTGGCCCAGTGTGCCACAGGGGGCCACCAGGTGTTGTGAAAGCCCTGCCTGGTGCCCAGTGCTTGGCACAGCCCCTGGCACAGAGCAGCTGCCCAAAAGCTTTGTGGAGTGAATGGAAACCTGGATGGAAGTGGGAGCCAAGCACGGAGGCAGACACAAGTACAGTGCTTGGAGGTGAGAGGGCGTCAAGCGAACACTCGACCTACTTTATAACTTTGCTCCAGGTGGGCTGGAGGAGGACAGCACAGGGCCAGACTTCCGATCAACAGGCACAGGACCTGGGAGCAAACCAGTCACAGCGTTCCTGATGTAACTAGGACGACTTGCTTTGGGGAAATCTGTTTCATTTTTGTCACCTATGGTAGCAGCCCCACTTCAGTCTTCTGGCCTAGACTTCCTTAGATTAAAAGTCCTCATTCTCCCCCCATAGGGTGCCTCAGGGTAGGCCAAGGCCATCTGGGGACCAGAGCCAGCCTCCTTTGTGCTGGGGCCAGAGGGGGATCAGCCCCTGGCGGTTTTCTCCGCCTCACCATCAGGTGCTGACAGCTGAGCTATTCCTCGCACCCTTGGGGTAAAGAACAGCCGCAAACTAGGGCCGAGTGCAGAGCCTGACAATTCTTCCCAAGGCTCCGGGGAGCAGCACCCTGGAGGGGCTGTTCGTGCGTTACATAAGCTGTGTGTCAGCGGTCCTTACCGATGCGCAGAGCCGCGTGCCTCTCGGAATTGCGCAACTCTTACGCAGAAGCACTTGTTCAGTGTTGCAACATGACTCCACATCTTTATCAAAAATGTGAAACATCCGCCCAGCACACACTTAGAAAACACTAAAGCTCTTCTCCACCAGGTGGTTAAGGCTGCTTGATCCGGCTGACAGGAGAGAAGCGGCCGCCGGGGGAGGCGGGGGGCCGGACTTACTGTAGCTCTTGGCCGGGGAAGCTGAACACCCAGTACCTTGTACCCCATTCGCCTTGGGCAGCGTGGACCTCTGATAAAATGTACTTTTTTTGTGCTTGTTTTTCCTGGCAGTCTCATTTTGGGTTATAAATGGCTCATTATTTCCATCCCATAGATCCATCCTTTCCTCTCTTGCATTCTCTTCTTGCTTTCCGGAACGTGGGTAAAATCATCGCTGATGAAGTCTGCATGTTCTAACCTTGAGCAGAGGCCGAATTTCCACATCGCTCATGCCACCTACAGCTGCTCCCACGTGGGAGAGGTTGGCTGGAAAGGCCCCCAACAGCAGGGCTATAATTCTATTTACACTAAAATACTCGGTGCCCTTAAATGCCAGCAAGCGGCACGGACTTCCACTCACTCCAGCCCTGCAACCTTTTCAGAGGACTATTGGGCAATCATCAGAGGTTATAAAGTTGGAACAGCATTCTCCCCGGGTAGGTCATTTTCCCTGCAGAACAGCTTGGAGGCAAATTTTATTAAGTATCAAGTAGCTGACCCAAAGCAGTATAAATAGCGAGAGAACATATGACAAACCCAGAAGGGACGGTGCTTAAACCCCGGGCTGAGTACGTGTAATGTGTTTACTGTCGTCAGCACCTGCACGGAGATATTCACGCAGCAACCATCCAGGAAAGGCGCTGAACCGTAGAAATGCAGTTACTAGGATTCAATCTTAGAAAAATAATTTCATCCTAACTTTTGAAAGCTTGCTGACCCCACCGTTAACCCAAGGAAGGTACCCATGGACAGGTTGGATGTCATAAACGTCATTCACATGTAAGTGGTAGGAGCCATGAGCAGTCACTGTCAGGTAAAAGGGATGCCCTAAATTAAAGTTTTTCAAGGGAAACATGGAGAGAATTTTAATTTGAGTCTGTTTCCCCCCATTGTTCTCTATCTTTATTTTAGAATGCAACACAGTGTAAACCAGGCTTTAATGAGGTTGATCAGGCCACAGATAATTGAGTTATGAGAGGCCCCTGAGCTTTCCAAAGCCAGTTTCCTGAACCAGCTGTTTCATCCGTTCTGTCCCCACTGGCTGGAGCTGTTGACATTCCAGAAGATAATCTTGTGTTCTTACAATGGTGGGAGGAAGCTCTGGGAAGGAATGGCGTAAGTTTGATGTAGAATGGAATTTGTTGAGCGTTTCCACTCAGAGACAACAAATTTCCAAGACGTCGCTGGTCTTGCCTGCAACTGCTGCTTCCTGGACCCCTTGTAAGGAAAGCCTTCTGCTTCATCAGGATCTAAATTCCAAAGCTATTTTGAAAGGTGGCGGTACTGTGAGTGTCTGACCTCTTTGAAGACGATGATAGTCTCTGAATATATCAATTTTTGTACGTTTATTAAAAATCAGTATCTTTACTTTGTATCTAGAACCAAGACAAAAAGGGCCGTAGGCTTTCAGAGGCCAGAGGGACCGTGAGGGGCTGACGCAGTCAAGAAGTGCTTCACGGAGTGGGTGGGGCGTACGTGAGGCCTTCTCCTTTTCCCACACTCACCCTCACTCCCGCAAGACTGTTGGCCCCTTACCCAATGTCCACTCTCCATTTCTTTCTTAGTGAAAAGAACTCCTACGTGGCCATGTGCCTAGCTAAAGACTACACCCCCAGCCTGCCTTGCAGTAGGGGTGGCTAATGAGATCTAAGGAGATGTTGTTGGGGGGCAGTGTTGCAGATAACATATGGGTTACCTAGTTAAATTTGAATTTCAGATAAACGAATCATTTTTAATATAAGTATGTCCCATGTAATACATTAGTATTTTTATTTGCTGAATCTGGCAACTCTATGAGTGAGGCTTCTGGGAAGCAAGGAAGGACACTCTTTTTGCCCTTTTCCCTCTTTTCTTTCCTGGGACATGGATGGAAGGGCTAGAATTTCAGCAACCAGCTTGGGTCATGAGGTTAAGGATGGCAGAAGAGACAGAAGACTTGGGCCCCTAATGACTGCATACCTTCCGATTTGCTTTATGTTGAGAATAAACCACTGATTTCCTTTAGCCACTAATAGTACCTCTGTTACCTGCACCCCATTGCTCTTCTAACTGATAGAGCCATAATAGAAAGTGCACTGTTATTTTTGGTGTTAAGTCTGTTTACCACGTGTCATCCTCGCCTCTGCCTCTGATGTAACATAAACCACTCTACTTTTACTTACTATATTTTTTAAGCAACCCAGGAGAGATGGGTGAGATTCCCTATACTCTGGGAAATGACAGCCCTTAGCATGAGTTTCTACACAATGTTATTGCCTGACTATTTTGCAAAAAGCGTTTTAGGTATTTGATTAATTGCTTCAGGTAATTAATAATAATAATAGTTTTAAAGCAGAACAGTTCTCATCTCTGCACAGAGATTTGGCCTGAAAACTTAAGTGCCACGAAATGATGTTCTGAAGCTGCAGAACCATATTTCAAAACAGCAGAAACCACCTGTGAATTCTGATGTTCCACTTTGAGAAAGTTTACTTTTATAGTGTGCAAGTCTTCATTAGCCCTATATTGACAGCTTCCCTTTTGTGCTGTAAAGACTGGCTAAGGATAGTCATGTGCACAGGTAAAGCTAACTTGCAAAGCCCATCAATAATTCAGGAATGACGTGAAAAGCTAATGCCTTCGGCCTTGTGAGCCGTTTTGAATGTCCACTGTGAGGCATTCTGGGAAATGGAGGGGGTAATAGAATTGGCCTCTTTGAATATAAGCTTTTATTTTATTTATTTATTTTTTATTGCAGTAACATTGGATTATAACATTATATAACTTTCAGGTGTGCATTGTAATATATTTCGAATTCTGTGTGGATTACATCATGTTCACCACCCAAAGACTAATTACAACCTATGAATATATAAGCTTAACCTAACTGGCTGACCTCGGCTGGTTCTGCAGAGAAAGAGAATTTCTCTGGGCTGTGAACTGTAGAAATACCAGCCCTTCCTTTTGCAGTGGAATCTTTTGAAGGTTAAGTAATAGTAAATAATCAACTAAGATTTCTCAGATTGGCTGCATTTACCTTTCTCTGAAAAAAATGTTTCCCCATGAAGACGAAGCAACTTTGGAATGAGAGCAGTATTTCCTTTTAGGCCTCCCCGCTTCAGACATTCGGAGAACAAGATCAGGCCTGGCCTGGCTGGCAGAGACTGCCTGGGGCAGACAGCTTGACTTGCCGTGTGGGTGAGGGGAGGTGAGTTAGAATTTAATAGAAGGGAGGGGAAGGAAACTGCCGTTTCATCTGGTAAGTTTCCGTGAAGGCCTTTCAGCAACGTCCATCAGCAAGAAAGGGGCAAGCAGAGTCTTGCCCTTCGTCCATCACTGGGGGTAATGAAAGTCTGGGAGTGAACTCCTGAAATATGAGTATTGTTACAAAAAATATGTATATATCTCACACAAAGGAACAAGGAATGCAATTAATACACAGATGGAGAGAGACTGACCTAGAGGATGTGGTCTTGGTATCTGGTGACAGGTCATGATGTCATGGCGACTTGACTCAGAAGAGATGACGGATGAGCCCATTCGTATGCATCTATTATGGATGCAAATAAAAATTGGACAGATATGAGTTGGGGGAAAAAACAGTGAATCTGTTTATTAGTGTTATCTTCACAATGTTAAAGCAGAAAGAGCTTATTTCTTTTGTCCAGGGTACACTAATTACACTCGTATTGAATATCCACTCAGCAAACATTTATTGAGTACCACTATGTGCCAGGCACTGTGGCAGGTGCTGGGAATGCACCCAGCATCATGGCACTGACAGCAGAGAGGATAGGAATGCCTTTGAACTTCATGACTAGGTTAGAATTTTACAAGGTCCCTCCATTCCCTACTCTCAACAAGAGCCAGCCAGAGCCAGCCACCTTCCCTGTCCTGTGACCTCTTAAGAAATGACAATTGCCATTCAAAACAAAAGTGCCTTTAACACTTTAATGGGCATATTTGTAGTTTTTTTTTCTTTTCTTTTCGTAGCCTTAGTATAAGCCCTGTAGTAAAAATTAGAAGAATTTTTAATGTTAGAAATCTCTTCTCTGCTGCTAAACAATAACAACTTTGGTCAAGTTTTTTACTTTCTCTGGGATTAAGTTTAAATATCTATAAAATGAGATGGTAGAAAGTAAGACTAGGTTGATTTAATGACTCCAGGTTTAAGGTAAGCAATAAGAAGAGGTTAAGAGACAGACAGCAACTTACTAGCTGCTTACAGATTGTGATCGCAGGGTAGTTCCTTAAAGCTCTTAAAGTCTCACTTTCCTTATCTGAGAAATGGAGATAATGTGATATTTGTTAGGAGAATGAAACAGATTGATGAGTAAGGCACCTGGATCAATGCAGGACATAGTCGAAATCCCCCAGTGAATGTAGCTATTTTTATCCTACTCAAAAATTATTTGACTCTTGATGTATTGTATTCTTTGTATGTACGTATGTATCTGTACGTATCTCTGTGTATCTGTGCCTGTGTCTATTTCTATGTGTCTGATGTAAGTGGTTCATTGAGGGATCTCAACATATAGGGGCACAAACGTGTAATGGAGTCTCCTTTTTTTTCAATCAATACTCTCAACAGTGCTACGTCTACTCCCTTTTTCTATCCCTCAACAATATCTAGGGCAAATTGTAGAAATTTGTAGTTTTTAAAGTTTTTTAAAAAGTTTGTAGTTTTTAAAGTTGTTAAAGATCCGTATAGTTTGACTCTTAGTCTGGTTCACAGCTTCTCTCCTCCCTGCATCCTTTTCTAGGCTCTGGCTCCTCCAGGGGGCAGGGAGGAGGGAGAGGGGAAGGACCCAGCATCTCTTAACTGCCCGTCCGTGTCTGTGGTTCTCCTATTGGTGTGTGTCTGGGGCTAACACTGCTGGCATGTTGGTGCCCCTGCATGGCAGGCGCCCAAAGGCTGGCGGGGCACTGTGGGTCTTTGAGGGCCCTGTGGGCTTCCTGACTGTATAGCTCAGTGACCTCAAATCCTGGCCCTGGATGGACTTCCTCTACGCCCTCAGCTCCTGCCATGCCTGGTACCCTCCCAGCCTGTTGCACCATGGCTCTATTACATTATATATTATATTATATATTATTATGTGTTATATTTACATATAATACATATACATTTAAATATATATATTTATATATCAATGAGGTCATTTTTATTTAAAACTTGTTAAAGGAAAGAGTTCCTCCTCTGACAGAAGAATCTATTTGTTCAACTCACTGTGTCTCTATTTTAAACGTATGTTCTAGAACAATGACACATCTCTTCCTTTTAGAGTATTTAGTACATCCACGAATTTTCTGGTGCTTTTAAAAAACAAAAAAAAATTACAATGCAGCTTTCACAAAGAACACAAATTTTAAGTGTTCAGACTAATGGAATTTTACATATGTATCCATCTATGTGCTGTTAAGTATACACACTTGAAGTATGGGGTTTTTTTTCCATACATACAACTATCCTTTTATGATGTCTGTTTTCATTCTACTCTACAACTCTGTAATTAAAAAAAAAGGCAGTCATGAGGAGCAAGGGGTGGGAATAAGGAGAAGAAGGGAATGAATATTGACTGAGTGCTTCTTTGTGTCAGGTGTCCTATTTGAAACCTCACACCTACTATCTGGTTTAATAATTAGACAAACACAGTGGGGTCAGTCATGTTATCCTCCTTTTCTCCTTTTTTTTTTTTTTTTAAGTAAGATTAGCCCTGAGCTAACATCTGCTGCCAATCCTCCTCTTTTTGCTGAGGAAGACTGGCCCTGAGCTAACATCGTGCCCATCTTCCTCTACTTTATATGTGGGATGCCTACCATAGCATGGCTTGCCAAGTGGTGCCATGTCTGCACCTGGGATCCAAACCGGCAAACCCCGGGCCGCCAAAGCAGAAGGTGCACACTTAACCGCTGCGTCACCAGGCCAGCCCCTATCCTCCTTTTAAAGATGAATAAAGTAGGTTGCAGAGCGGCTAAGTAATTTGTCTGTGGTCATACAGTTAGACAGAATTTGAAAGTAGGTCTTTGATAACAAAGCTTTACTCTTTGTCCTAGATAGTTACCAGGAAGCCGTGATGTAGTCTTTTAACTTGTGTCCCTGCTGCAGACAACTTCTGCTCTATCTCACTGGACCCGTCTCAGGAGCCTTGTGAATTGTGTCTCAAAAATGCCTGCCTGGAAGACAAAAGAGGGAAGAGTATATTCATTGGCTTCTGTTATCTATTAGTCAAGGGTGGTCCCACGGTATTAATCACCCTCTTACTTCTGGGTTGTAATGTGTTAATGCCAAGCAGGTTCCCCTAGGTGTACCGCATAAGAGAAGACCTGGGACAGGATGCAAGAGGTGTGTGATGAGGGCGCAGGTAAGACACTATCGGATTACACCCATGGACGCTGGACCAAGACGACAGGGAACTCAATGGCACAGCAGCGGCTGCAGTGGGAGACGAGGCTGAGAGGAAGTGAAGTGGTGCGTGACAGGTATCCAGTACGCATGCTGAGAATGTTTTGGTACTGCAGACCCAGAGCAGGAAACAGTTTTCTAATAACATGCCTCTTCTTGTAGCAGAGGTTTCAGCCTGAACCCAGGCCTATTCTTCTGTTGGAGTTTATGTCCAGGCATGTTTGGCAAATTCATGGAGCTGACCTGAGGGAGAGTTCTTTGTTCTTTTCCTTTAGGAAGGGGAAAGGGATTTTTTTTTGAAGAGGAAGTGAGGCTTTCTTTCTTGTTTAAAAAAATTATTTTATTGAGCTCATAATGGTTTATAACATTGTAAAATTTCATTTGTACATTACTATTTGTCGATCTCCATTTATATGTGCCCCTTTACCCCTTCTGGCCCCATCCTCTTTCCCTCTGGTAACCACTAATCTGTTCTTTTGTCCATGTGTTTGTTTTTCTTCCACATACAAATGAAAGCATATGGTTTTTGTCTTTCTCTGTCTGGCTTATTTTGCTTAACGTCATATCCTCAAGGTCCACCCATGCTGTTGCAAATGGGACAATTTTGTCTTTTTTATGCCTGAGTAGTATTCCATTGTATATATACACCACATCTTCTTTATCCATTCATCAGCCAGTGGGCACTGGATTGCTTCCATATCTTGGCTATTGTGAATAATGCTGCAATGAACACAGGGGTGCATAAATCTCTTTGAGTTGTTGATTTCAAGTTCTTTGGATAATTACCCACTAGTGGGATAGCTGGGTCATATGGTATTTCTATTTTTAGTTTTTTGAGGAACCTCCATACTGTTGTCCATAGTGGCTGCACCAGTTTGCATTCCCACCAGCAGTGTATGAGAGTTCGGGGAAAGGGATTTTTATGTATAAGACCCTAAAGAGAGATATGAGAGAGATGGAGGGAGCCAGTTGGTAGCTACCCCATGACAAGGTCTGAACTCTATGGAAAAACGGGCCTGGGCAGAAAGGGTGGGATCTGGTTTATGAGGGATTCAGTACCTTGATACCCAGCAGTACAAGCTCTTTAAAGGCCTTTATGGGAAAGTGCAATGTAGTCGGGGAGTCGGACATTCTTCCCGCTTCTGCATGGTTCCACAGGGAAGATCAAATGTTTATAAAGCAATAAACAGAGTTTGGGTGCTTCCAAGAATGCCATTCCATGTGGCCTGATTACCCTGTATATTTAGAGAGTGAGGAAGTTATTTTAGGGACGTTAGTAGCTGTCAACATTAGGGATTGGCCAGTGGGGGGGTGGGACTGAGTCTGAACCAGCCTCCAGAGACAGCACAGGGGTGGTCCAACCAGGAGGCAATAGGAAGAAGGCTTGGCAGGGGGTCAGAGTTCAGTATCCGGCTGGAGATAGTCTACTACTGGTAGCTATTCAATGAAAGAGTGGACATCGAGTCATGGGAATTTGGTACAGGGATTATACCAAGAGAGGAAATAGTAACATTCCAGGTAAAGAGGAAAGAGCATACAGAGTAGGAATCCAAGATGTAGCTCAGGAAGGCACAGGGAGGAGCCAAATAGAATCCAGAATGGATGTAATTATAAGGTAATGAGGGCTGAATCCAGTTACTGGAAAGAACGAGCCTTGAGAGTAACTAGCCGAAGGCTGCATTTAGTTCCTCTTCCTAGGACATGTCTGGCAGCTCAGAGGGAGGTGAAGAGGCTGTTTACTAGCTAAACAGGCAGGTGGGTGGCAGGGGCAGCGAGTCAGGCAGGTCTTCACTGTTGAATTACCAATAATCTCCGAGTGTCTGAATCCACCAACAAGCAAGCAGGGCCCAAATGGAGAAAGCCTGTTTGCAACAGCCCTTATAAGAGACTTCTGTTGTTCTTGTCTGTCTAGCACCTCTTCTCCTTCTGCTGCCAACGGAACTACTTTTTAGTGGGGAACCCCCAACTTCCGAGAGTAGTGAGCGTGTGACCTGAGCCCAGTCAATCAGAGTGCTCCATTTCCTTGGTTTGAGGATGGGCGGGAAACCTAGAAAGGCCAATCAGATTCTTCCTTGAGATTTGATATTTCAGTGAGTAGTTGGGGGGAGCAGAGCTCTCTCTCAATCTTGGGATCACAAGCTGTAAAGACGATGTAGACTGGAGTTGCTTTGTGTCACCCTTCCTGGATGCATGGGGAAAGCCATCTGCAGTAAGAGAGAATGAGCCCAATATTAAGAGAGAATCAGAAATGAAGAGGGATGAGAGATAGGGTCCTAAGGACATTTCTTGGGCACTAAATCCAGTCACAGCCATCCCTGCTCTTTTGTGAGCCAATAAGTTCTCTTTTACTTAAGCCAGTTTCAAGCCAATTTCACTTGGGGTTCTGTCACTTGCCACGTAAGGAAATCAGACTAATATGTTTGCTTACTTACTGGTTCGTAGCAATACGTATCCGTTGCCTCCATCCACAGCGAGCCTGAAATTTATGTTTGGACTGAAAATACTTGCTCAAGTCTGACCTCCATTGCTCTTCATGAGAACACACTGACCACCTGGGCGAGCCTACGGCCAGTGCCGCTGTCTGGCAAAATCTCGGTGAGATCAGATCTGTGTCACTGCCCAGCCCTGCTTTTGACATCTGCCTGTGCTTATGAGCTCCCTGCTCCCTCTTTCCCCGTGATCCTCTCCGACTGTGGATAAAATCCTCAGTCCTTTCCACTTTGACTCTTCCTTTTTGCCAGTAAGTTTCAAACCTACAACTCAAATCCTGACCTTTCTCCTGAAACCAGATACCTGTTTTTAATTTCTATTTCCAGGTTCAATGATCAGCTCACACTCAACAAGTCCGAAACAGAACTCATCAGTCTCCTGGTACTGTTGATGGCACTACCATTGTGCCAGTCATCTGCCCTTGACAATCTCCACATTATTTGGGCTGCCCTTCTTTCCCTCATCCTCCATGTACACTGAGTCATGGAGCAAAATCCCTTTCCTTCATAATGTCTGCGTGTGCCAGAAGCTGCGTGAGCTTCTGAAGGTACAACAAAAATCAAGATGTGATCCCTGACTTGAAGAGCTTGGATCCTACCAGAGGAACAATCCAAGGCAGAAAGTGCTGAGTGCCACATCAGCGGCAGCAGAGAAAGGACTAAGGGAGCCTGGTAGAGACAGCTTCATGTCTGCTATTGGGGATCAGGGAAGAGTCGTGGTAGAACAGCCACAGTGCATCATGAGAAAAGAGACCCAGGAGAGCAACTGACTGAAGTGCTCTTGGAATGACGACTTCAGTTTGCTGGTGCATTGGGTCAAAGCACCGGGGAAACATGGTTGAGGTCGGCACTGTGGATGAGGCATACAAAAGCCAGTTACAGCTCCATTCTGTCTTGCTTTCCCATATAATGGAGCTAGAAAACTGAAATACCTGGTTCCCCAGCTCCTCTTGCAACTATGCATGACCAATTTCTGGCCAGAGAGAGTAAAGAGAGGGCAACCCAGTGAAAGTCATGGGAAAGTGTTTGAAAAGTGAATAGGCTGTGCTGGCATGCCCACCTTGGGCTTCCTCCCTCTCCCTTCTTCTTCCTAGTTAGGAACACACATGCTTACTTGTGGGTAAAGCAGCCATCTTGGCAACATGAGACCTCCCCAAAATAAGGATATGTTTGTAGGATGACAGAGGAGAAAGAGAGAAAGATCTTGCTTTCTCAGATGACATCATCTGGCTGCTGTGAAGCCCTAGACTGTTTTCCCCACATGCCTTATGCATGAAAAAAAAAATCCCTATTTAAGTAAAAATCACTGTTAGTCAGATTTTCTATAACTTGCAGCTGAATAAGATGCTAACCTATAAAGCCATATGTTAGAAATACTGAGTACTATTCTAGATAAATTGAAGTTTATTCTATAAGCAAGGAAGTTGCAGACAGCTCTTCACATAGAGGTTAGGGGGATGCTATTATCAGAAAATTCTCTCCTTTTGCTGTTCACTGTCCATGCCCTTCACGCTCAGTTTAGTGTCCACCTATTCATGGCAGCTTCTGTCTCTTGTCTTGGTCACCTTTATCCTCACTCTCTGCTGGGCTATTATCAAGTATAGCTTACTGACATGTATTGTTACTGATTCTTCATGAGTTTATGTTATGTATTCCCAATAGGACTGTAATAGTGGTCATGTTTTATACTTCCTCTCTCTCTGTCTCTCTCGGTGCCCGGGCTGGAGAGAAGAACACAGTGGTTCCATGCTCAGGTACTGTATAGTCTTGGGTTTGAACCCTGACTCCATAACAGAGTATCTGTAGATCTTTGGCAAATTTTTTAACCTCTCTAGGCCTCACTTTCCTCACCTGGGGAATAAAGATGGATAGTAGAACTTGCCTGACAGGGTATTGAGAGACTCAAATGAAACATTTTCATGAATCCCTTAGCATCATTTTAGTCATCACTGCAAACGTGGTAGATGGATGCGTTAATGACCCCCCTGTATCCATGTGCTTTCCAATGGGACTTTGCAGCTCTTCCCATCGTAAAGTGGACTCCATTTCCCCACCCTTGAATCTGGGCTGGCCTTATGACATTCTTTGGCCAACAGAATGTGGCAGAAGTGATAGTGTGCTAATTGTCAGTCTAGGCCTCAAGAGGCCTAGCACATTTCCACTTTCTCTCGGGACCTCTGCATTTGCCATAAGAACAAGCCCAGGAGAGCTGCTGGAGGATAAGAGACCTTGTGGAGTAGACAGGAATCTCCCCAGTGGAGGCCCTCTTAGACCAACCAATCTGCCAGTTGTCTACAGAGACGTGAATGCGTCCAGCTAAGATCAGAAAACCCCCTCAGGAAACCTGTACACTTAGGAGTAAAAATAAATGCTAATTTCTTTAAGCCAGTAAGTTTTTTTGGGATGTTTGTTATACAGCACTAGCTAACTGATATAAGTTTCCTGAGAGGAGGGACTTTGCCTGTTTCATTACTGCTGTATCCTGAATGCCTGGAACAGTGCATCACATAAGCAGGTGCTTAATACATACATTGAATAAATTCCTGAATGTAGTTATGATTGTTAGTATCATCTTAAAGGGTCATAGTGATGAGTAAATGAAATAATGCAGGGAAAGCATTTAGCATTGTCTCTGTCACACAGTGACTTCTCAGTAAATGTTAGCTATTAATGGGGTGATCAACAATAGTTGGTTAATTAATTAACATTTTCTTTATTAATATAAGACCAGCTGATGAGTAATGGTGTCTTAAGCCTAGTGAATAAAGCAATCTTCTGTCTTTCAGAAAGCCTAACATTCACCAAAGTTGGGTTTTAGCTTGTGACTTTAAACAGATAGATAGACAGACAGATAGATAGGTCATAGGTGAACTGCCCCAGGAAAGCTGGAGAGCAAAATTTCACAAAAGCTGTTTTCGGAACCCTGGAACTTGGAGCTAAGGCATCATCCTACTACCAACTACTATTTTTTTTTTTACTGGTCTCCTGTCCTCTGCTACTTTCCCAGCACCAGGCTACCATGTGTTGAGTTCCCACCTCCTCCCAGTATGCTGCTTCTCCCTCCCTGGATGCTGGGGAGCCCTCTCCTCTGTGGCACTGCCGGGGACCATGGGGTTAGGTGGGGTGTGTGGGAGTGGGCGGTGGGGCGTGAAGCCTGGGGTAATTCCTTCGTAACCGTGTCACGTGGCTGATCCTGCTTGCTAGCTCTGCTTGGCTCTTGTAAAAGGAGGCCTTTTCATCCTCACCAAGCAGAAGGCTCACACTCTGTAATCTCTCAGTGACCTCGTTAGTTCCCAAATTACATTTGGCTGCTAGAAAGATGAACACGTTGTACCCTATCTTTGGGACTCATTATTTCCATTCTGGAACCTGTCATTTATGAAATTCTGACTTTCTTTCATTTTGTATTTACACTAGGAAAAACTAAGAATATTGTAATTGTCTGTGATGTTTTGAAAACACTTGTCACAAAACGAAGCCAAATGCTGATTAATGTTAAGTGTTTTGAAGAACCAAGCTTTTGGCTCATTAACTGGACTTGAACGGCATTACCCATCAGCTTCAAGTTCTGATAATTGCTCGTCACAGATTGGTGCTAATTTAGTAATAATAGTGCCGACAGATTTGTATGTTTTCCCCACATTGAACATTAGGCACATATAAAGGCTGTGTGACTGCCAGACCTGGAGTTAGAAGACCTGCTCTCTGATTTGCCACAGTGTGACCTTGGGTAAAACAGCTAACCTTTCTCTGTCTCCATTTCCTTATGTAAAACAAGGGGCTTAGACAAGATGATCTTCAATATCCTTCTTCACCAAGATTCTATGGTGTCAATATTCTGTAGTTTGGTCTTGAGTTGCATAAGAAGCATAGATCCATTTAAGGAAAGGCACAAACATTGGGAAAAACTGATATACATGGAGTATGAGCAAGTATGTCAGTTTATTTCCTTTCTTCTGTGTCTTTTCTATATTAAGAGGGAAAGAAATGTTCCCTGTTGGGCTTGCAGGATAAGCCCTTAATCAAATGTTACATACCATCTGTTTGAGACAGTATTTGGTAAGTCAAACTTAAGTAGCTATAATCACTGTGGAATCTGAAACTGTTTCCTGTTATCCTGTCTATTTTCTGAAGCAGATGGGAGGTCGTCTAGCTTCCTAAGCCGGCACAAAGCAATAATATTCCCGGGAAGAGAGACACTTGTTCTGAGGTTAGTACCTTGAAACTGCTTTGCCTTTCCTTTGTTCCCCAGATATTCTCCCACTTATTTACACAGCTCTCCTCCTCCTCCTGTATCAGTGTTATCTACCCCCTCAACCTGGCTCACTGTCTTCCTCTATTCCATTCCTTGACATAATCCCTGGGGATTTTGACATATGTGTTGATAATTCTTACCCTGGCATTAGAAGAGGACCAGGCCAAGAGATGTTAACAATTGGTTCATGCCAGAGGGTGATAGATTGTCATGAGGGTTAATTCAGACAATCAAGTGCCTCATGGAGTGTGGGCCCCAGCGGCTTCTAGAATCACAGAAACGCACAGCTTAGTGAACTGCCTGTCCTGCTCTCTGTAACCCTCAGCTCTGGTAATTTATCTCTGTAGTCTGAAGACCATGAAAATAGCTTCAAAAGCTGCCTTGTTTTTCCTTCCAACATTAGACACTTTTTCTTAAAGTCCTCCTTTCTCTTCTACTGGCTGGATAACATGTAACACATCACCATTTTCTATTTGAAGGGCTCAAGTCATCCTCTGGAGTCATTGGCCATTTCCTGCAGGCTGGGGAGGTGGTGACAGCCACGCAAATGGTGGAGATCATCTTGAGTTTACCACTGGTCCAAGTCCATGGAGTTGGGTTACTTGGATATGGGCACCCCCATATGTCTAACGCCTTCCAAGATATTAAGTGTCATGTAAACGCAGCACTTCCCCTTCTGCCCATGAGTGTCTGTTGTCACCTGTCAGAAGGCAATGCCATAGGCTGTTTATTTGATGTGGAGACAAGATACCACATCTTCCTGGAGCCTTTCAACTTCTTATGTCGTGATCCTGGACAGCAGCGGTGCTGCAATATCTGGAACTACCAAAGAACATTAATGGAAGAATGAGGGATTGTTGGGGACATGACCTCATAGGATGGGTCTTGCACATTTGGGTACAGCAGAGATGTTTAAAGATTTGGGATCTAGAGGTACAAATTGTCTTTCCATGGTCAGAGAAAGGTCCTGGAGCTGGATAGAACCTGACGGTCTGGTCTTCCCTACCAAATTCTGCTGTGTGTATGGGAATGGCTACCCTTTATGCTAGAGCCTGCCCCAAGGCTGGGTCAGCTCTACTTTAAAAACCAACTTGAAATGGTGGATGCTTGACAGACACTATTATCCCCACTCCAACGATGAGAACACTGAGGTCAAGGATTTGGCTCAAGGTCATCCCGCAAGGTCTTGTTGGAGGCAGAAATAGCATCTGAGCCTTCACTCCTAATCCAGCTCTCATTGCTTGTTGCGGTGTGCCATGGCTGAAGTTACACGATGAGGCATCTATCTAAACCAGAGAGCCAAGTTCTGGGTTCATGTTACGTCTTTCTATTCCTTCACTTGGCCTCCCACTGCTGGCTCAGAGCAGTTCCTTGCTCTGATCTATTGGTTTTTTCTTAGGCTGGAGAGAGTTACCACACTTCCTGATCCTGACCTCCAGTGGAGGAGGGTGGAACCTAACGACATCATTTGGATCATACTTGACTCCAGCGATTGCTCCAAACTTGAAGAGCAGCGAGTGGAGTCTTCGTCTTTTAACCCTATCAAGTGACCTGGTCTTTAATGCGTGATTGGCAATAATGGAGGAGATTCAGACAACCATCCCCTGTCACAGCTTCCTGCTGGAGAGGCAGCAAGAAGCTAGGACTTAAACTCTGAGGGCAGAGTATCCTGGATTCACACCCCGACTCTGTTGTTTCCTGGTTGTGTGGCCTTCGGCAAGTCCCTGAACATCGCGGTAGCTCAATTTCCTGGTTTGTAAGATGGGTGAAAAGAATTCCTTAGGATGAGGTAATCTGGGCAAAGTTCCTGTCATGTAAGAGATATTCAGGAAATATTGGTTTCTTCACTCCTCCCCACCCCACACACGTGTTGAATACAGTAACTTTATTTTCACCACCACCTTACAAGAAACAATGGCACGCCTAGGTAAGCTGAGTGACTCAAGAGCTAGCAAAAACTAAGTCTTTGGAGTTAGCTACGTTGCATGCCAAGTGTAAATTTCCCATTAATGGGCTTTAAGTATATTAATGGGAGAATTTTTGTGCTCCTTGGATGGAAAAAAAATACAACATTTTGTGCCTCTGGTATCTGAGAGGAAGCCCTGAGACAGATGGGTTCCCATAAGTTGTGCATCGTGAATGCAAGGAAACTTCATTCTTCTTACACTACCAGGCAGTCGATCCAAAATGGGGAAAAACTCTTTACATGAAAGCATGCAATTACATGCCATACCCTGCAATTCTAATTACTGATGACTTAAATTGAAGCACAGCCTTTTACATAGGAGTTTTATGATCAAGAATTAAGAAATTTAAAAATATTATGGGGCCGGTTGATGGCGCAGCAGTTAAGTTTGCACATTCCACTTTGATGGCCCCAGGGTTCACCAGTTCAGATCCCGGGTGGGGACACGGCACTGCTTGGCAAGCCATGCTGTGGCAGGCGTCCCACATATAAAGTAGAGGAAGATGGACATGGATGTTTGCTCAGGGCCAGTCTTCCTCAGCAAAAAGAGGAGGATTGGCAGCAGGGCTCATCTTCCTCAAAAAAAAAAAAATAAATAAATAAAAAATAAGCCCCTAGATAGACTCTTACCTTTAAATGTAATCAGTTTGGAATGATGACTTCAATACTTTGTTTTTGGTGAGGAAGATTGTCCCTGAGCTAACATCTTTGCCAGTCTTCCTCTATTTTGTATATGGGATGCTGCCACAGCATGGCTCGACGAGTGGTGCTAGGTCCATGCCCGGGATCCAGAACCATGAACCCCGGGCCAGTAGGGCGGAGAGTACAAACTTAACCACTACATCATCAGGCTGGACCCCTAGATACTTTCTTAAAATTTTGCATCAGTACATTCTACTACAATTCTCCTCTTTTGTTTTTCCTCCCCAAGCAAAAAGCAGGTCTGCCCTACTCACTTTACGGTCTTCTATAAATTTAATTAAAATCTCCCTGTTTGTAACACACTTAGACTGGCAGTGGGCAAGAGGGACAGGTACAAAGCTTTGTGACATAATCTTGTCCTCACAGAGCTTACACTCTGGTCAGTTCTTAGATGGGTAATTGCCCAAATTAACCAGGCCAGAGCAACTGAGGAAAAGTAGGGTGTTCCCTCTCTGTCTCTCTCTTTCTGAATGAAGAAGCCAATTAATGTTCACCCTAAAATTGAATCCTGGATTGTTGTAAATAACTAGACTTTTCTCCCCAAATCAGAAAAGAAATAAAAGTGTCAATCATCATTATTTTTGAAGTTGTATATTAGGTAAAAGTTGCTTAAACTCTAAATAATCATTAAACATATATTTCAAGGAGAAAACATAATAGATTTTCATTTTTATATCTACTGGAAAAGCAGGGCTGCCTTTTTGGGCTATGACATTCCAAATTCTCATTTATATACGGGTAGGCACAATGCCCTTCTGGTTCTGGATGTGGAAGGTGACATTGGAGCCATCAAGTATGTTGATGGATATATTAAACATCATCTGGCTATATACAAGTAACAGATATTCCTTCCAGCCATACTACTCATATATTAACAAAATATTTCCTAAGAGAGAGGAAGAAGATGTTCCCAATGTGCTGTCAATTTGATATGAACTTCAAGTTGTATTTCTTTTATTTGTTTACTTATTCACTCATTTAGTCATTCACCCAAGATGTGTGTAATGCCCAATGTGCCAAGCCCTATACCACATGTTGAGTATCAGAGACGAATGTGATACTGTAGCCGTACTATATGAACTAACAGTTTAAACAACAATTCTTGCCTTGTGGTCCGCAGATTCCCCCAATGGGTCTGAAGTTGGGCCTTAGGGCATCAAAAAATCCCTTGAAATTAAATGGAATCATTGGTCTGAATGTGTGCGTATATACATTTTTCTGGGACAAGGACTCATATCTTTCATCAGATTATCAAAGGGGTCGAGATCCAACAAAGGTTAAAAAACCACTGGCCTAGAATGGAGGAAAATCCAGCCCTGGTTCCAACAGACAGCCACCAGCTCTGTAACCCTGCCCAGAACCCAGGGTGGAGGTTTTCTGTGTTCCCTGCTCTGGTTTTCCACCACCAATGTGTCTCCATCTCTCTCTTCTCCCTCCTAAGTTACTCTTTCCTTGTGCCTTCACTTTGAATTTCTGATGAGGAACCTTTGATTGACCCAGTAAATCTCCATCATTTCTGTTGGGGTAGAGCTTTCTTGCCAGGATACCTCAAAGGTTTTTGGTTGCTGCATTTGGGTCAAGCACCAACTGGATTCTAATCAGGTATGCCAGGTTGGGCAGGGGGTGTGTCACTGAGAACAGATCATGGCCACTGCTCTATAAGGCCTTGTCTAGGAATCCTCCTGGGAGAGACTGTAGGTGAGGACGTTCCCTGAGAAGTTCGTTGGAGGTATGACCATCCCTATTGTCAAGCATGGATGAGTGGATTTAGGGAACAAGTTGGATCAAGCTATCCGTTAACTTGCCGGAGCCCTCTTGGGATAGGTTAGTAAGATGACTAGCTGTGTTTAGAAATCCACTGTGTGGCTTTCTAACTCATTGTGTGGCCATGGAATACAAGAAAGCTAACTGTCCCATGCCTGTCCTAAACATGCCCCATATTTAAAACTTGAAACTTAGGCCTTATTGGTCTTAGTTCAACCCAGCTAACTGGTATCAGTGACTGTGAAAAGCACAGACACTAGAACAAAGTGTCTTTATTTCTGGTCCACCATAGACTCCTACTTGTCTCAAGTCGGACACCATAGATCCAAAGACAGATAAGACTTGCAACCAGTCCTTGCAGAGATCACATAAGAATAGACGTTATATTGTTTGATATAAATAACTGAATTGAAATGGCAATAGGCTGGGAGCCAGAGGGCCGGAGTTCTGGTGCCGACTCTGCCACTTACTGGTTGCATAAGCTTGACTCAGTTATTTGAATCCTCGAACCACAATTTCCTTATTTTTGAATGGGGATAATAAAACTCACCCTGCTTGTCTCTGTGCTTGTCAGAGGGACTAAATAAGATAATATATGTGAAAATGCTTTACTTTAAATTGCCAAAGCAAAACAAGGCTTTAAAAAATTATTGCCTTAGTTTTGGGTATTATTGGCAGGACCGAACTACTTATTACTGGCGCCATGCTAGTTCCTATCATTAAATACATTCTTTGTCCTCTCAAGGTCTTTGTGAATAGATTTAAAAGAAATCTGATCACGCTGGAAACATGTATTTTAGTGGTATGCATTTGGTTTCAAAGAACATCTGATAAAGGCTTTAAAAGTTTAAAAGTACAAACTGAATATTAAAAGCACCAGTTAAAAGTTAACGAAGCAAGGCCCATCAGGAAAGAGGCTGTTTCCTGAGGGTGACACCGTGCCTCTGTCTTTTGAAGAAGTTTTGAACACTCAGAGTTATGCTAGAAATTTCCAGAGGGGTTGATTGGTATAATGCCTACAGTTGTATCAAACTTTATGTAGGACTTTTGCCCATGGGCCCCCAAAGTTCCAGAATGATTGTGATTTTAAATGATTGATTCATGCTGAGTAAGGTATGTGAATAAGAGTGCCTTTTCTGATTTTAGTCTGGTAGAATGAGGTCTGTGAGTTGGTTGTTCACATAACAAAGTAGCAAGGACTTTTTTTTTGAGATTTTTTGATTCTCTGCATGTCCTTAGTACTGTCTGGGCCAGTGAGGACTTAAATTGTTTATGTTCTTGAGTGTTACTGAACTCTGTCTCCAGTCTCCCCAGTGCAACTGTAAGATCCTTGGGGACATAAACTGTGTTAGACTCCTAAAACTACTTACAATACAGTAATGGATACTGCGTTGAGAGACCATAAGCCATATTGAGGCAGAATTCTGAACAGGGGATAGTTATGCATTTTCACCCTTTCTGAGTTCCAGAATCTCACTGATAACAGTCCGGTATGGTTTGCTGGATCAGGTGTCTGTATGTGACAGCACTTGAAATGGTTCCTTAACTTTAGATTTTACGAAGCCAACAAAAGGATCTGTTGAAAATGACTCATCTACCATTGAAATGAGGATCATATGTAGTTTACTGATCATATCTCTAAACAAGGAACTAAAAAATATCCATAGTGGTATTCACCACCAGTTATCCTTAACTGAGGAACTGGCAGTGATGCTCAACCAGCATTGTGGTTAAAGAATTTAGGTTCTGGAGTCAGGCAGACTTGAGTTTGAATTTCAGCTCCACTACTAATCAGTTCTGACCTTGGTCAACTCACTTAATTCCTCTAAACCTGTTTTGCCATCAGTAAAATGGGGACAATCATAGTATGTCCTTGATAAGGGCTTTTGGGAAGATTAAATGAGGTGATATATGCTATAGTGCTTAGCAGAGAGCCCAGCACATGAGATGTGATCAAGGACTGGTAGTCATTACTGTTAGCTGAGGGACTAGTCTTTGAGCTGGTCCAGGCTGCAACCCATTTAACGTGCCCCTCAGCATCCTGTCTCAAGGGCTCTGTGCTGGGTCTTCTGTTGTTGCTTTATTAGTCACTATAGATTATTCCCTTTGTTTTTGGAGCCTAAGAATGGCTGCATAATGAATGTTCCTGTCGCTACCCTGAGTTAGAGTTAATCCTGTCTCATCTACTGATTGTATGCAGGGTCAGCCATAGTGACTGGAGGAGGATTTAAATTTCTGTAGCCAAAAGGAGTCACTTTCTGCCGGGAATGTAAACTGAAAACAGATTCACCATCCACTCAGGGCTCATGATGCGTAGCATCATTAAATAGCCCAGCAGCAGAGGCTCCGGCCATTATAGTTCAATCACTTCATGCCAAGCGCCATATGGCAGAAGGCAACTTCACGCTGGATACTGAAGCTCTCCATTAAATGAATGCCTTTTAATTTAATAATCATTAGCATTACATAGATGCTGAATTCAAGCATGGGCTTGAGGGAGAGGTGAAATCCGGAATGCTCTTTTAAGGTCTTTACTTTGAGGTAGGCCTCCGTCTGAATTGACGTCTCTTGAACTAGCCCAAAGTGAGTGGCCTTTTGGCATTAAGGATCATTTACTTCACAAAAGCATTGGTTTCTTGTTGGGCTGGGGTGCCACTGCTGCCAGCTGGATGTCAGAATCTCCTGTGAGCTCTGAGGTTTATGCCAGATCCGGTTCGTTTGGCCAAGGAGAATGTTAAGAGAGGGAACGTGACTCATTCCAGGTAAGCTTGTAATGAGTTGATACAGCTCTGCTGTGGGAAAAGAGTAATCCCCAGGAGCAGGTATCTCACCCTAGAACCGTTGGACTAGAGGAAAGTGGAGCTCTCTTTCTATGAACTCACACCTGTTCTCTGCTGACGTTCCAGACTTCTACCAGCCTTCCCTCAGCTTTCTCTCCCAGCACTGTTGGCACACTGAGGGCTTCTAG